CCTTCTGAAAGACTGCAGACTTTGCCTCTGCAATGCTCTGCTCAAGTGTTTCCTTTGATTTTCTAGGATCTATTCCTATTTCACAGCTGATTTTTTTCATTTAAATTCCAGCCTAATTCATCCTTCCTCCTTTTGTTGAAGATGTTTTGTTGTTTAGTTGTTATAGCAGAGAGAAACAATTTCATAATAAACTGTTTTATAGCCTCTTGTGTTCATGTTTTTGCTAGATAAACATATATTTCCTTTCCATTAGAAATGATTAAACCTATGTGGTCCTACATAACATGAGCAGCATCTTTGATTTAGTTATAATACATACATTTTTACAATGTCAATGTTTTACTGTCAGTTGTTGCACAAACGGGTATTCTGGTTCTTAGCTTCCTATCTGCATTTTGTTGATGTTGCAGATTCAGGGTCGTTGGCATGAAGTATCTAGCTAATATGATTTCACGCTATATTCTCTGATATTGCTACTTTTAGAAAGGAGGAAAAAAAAGAATCCTGTATTGTGGAAGCAAAATAGTTAATGTCTCATAGGCTGCTGCAGGCCTCCCTAGTTAAGACACATTTGCAGCTAATGGTCTTGCCAGTCAGCAAGATTTAATTACAAAGGAGTGGATTATTCATAATAGGCATGGATTGTTTGTAAAATGATGTACTGTCTAGAGCCTCCTTATCTGAAGGATTTAAATCGCTGTTGTTATCTACCATATCCTGCTTATCTGACACAGTTTTGGTGAAGAAGGAGTTGTATAACCTGTAGGTATATCAACTCTGTAACTGCCCCATTTGGGCAGAGCTCATATCAGCAGGGACCGTCACTGTGCTGCTCTGTGTTCTCTCCTATACTGATAGTAATAAACTGCTTCCATTTTGAACTGATCTAAATTGTATTCTGGTTATTTCTGTGACAGCATCAATGCTTTTCTTCCGGCATATCCAAACAAATGAATGCCAGTGTAGGACCATGGAGTGAAAGCTCCTTTCACTATTATTAACAAGCACAGTGTTAGAGTCTTGCCTTTACCTTGCTCCTTCTTTGTCATCAAGCTTTCAACATCTACTCAGAATTTCACCCTATCTCTTTTTTGTGATATGGTGCAATTTTGTCAAATTTCTGTGAAATTGGCAGTACTTCTGTTATTTCTGAATTTTCATCCAGCTATGTTTTTGCTGTACATTATTTATCTTTGTGGGTTTCTTCTTTTATAGCATGGTTACTGGGATCAGCAGAGCATTTTTCAGCAAGTCATCTATTTTTTACCAAAATTTGTCTCTGGGCAGTCTTTCTGTACACCACCTTCATAAAAGTACCCTATATGTTATTCCCAAGAAACTACAGAAATATGGGATCTGAACACATGAATTTTCAGGTGCTCCTGTGGGAGTTGGGATGTATTATGTCAACTTCGAGTAATATACATGGACTGGTATTTCCCAGTACTGCCCTAAGTGAAAGAGGGGTTGCTCTTCTGCACCTAGGTGGGCAACAAGGTGAGAGAGAGAAATGGTGCAGGGATCTTTCTGGATCTCAGCAAGAAAGGCCGAAAACAAATGGCTTAATACAACAGCTGTTTTAATAAGACAGAATAAAAAGAGGAATATAGATAGTGAGTAAATCTTATGTCCCTTCAGATGCAGGGTACCCTGCTTTTGTGCAGCGTCAGAGCAATCCCAGATGGATTTTCTCCACAGCACGCTGTGCAGATTCTATCCTTGAAGAGGTTCCTCCTCCTTCCCATGCTGCAGTGGCTTTTGTTTTGTGTAACAAACAGGATCATATATCTTCTCCTGACAGGCTGCAATATTATCCTCTGTCATAACATCCACTAGCGCACAGCACAGGCCAGCATGGGTCACTCTCTCAGGTTCCCTTACAGCATCTACTCATGCCTTAAGTACAAGGCCCAATAGACATGACTTGCTCAAGATCACAAACTCCTCAACAGTAGTTGTCTTCTGCAAGGGTCCCAATGCAGTTGCCTTATACGGATGGTAGTGCTGTAACAAATGCAGACATGCCCTGCGTGTGCTTGGGAGGCAGCATCACGTATTGGTGATGGCAGGAGTAAAAACATCCGGTTCCTTTTAAGAGTGAGAAATTTTCACCAGAATCTTTCTGTTTCTGTTCTGACACTAAGTCATTGCTTAGTGTGCGAACAAGGCTGTAATGGCAACCCATCTTTCTAGCACATTGTTCAAGGCCTCCTTGTCATATCGAGGTACAGCCCAGGGAAAGTAAGAAGAGAATGAGCTTAACGAATAATAATGAGCAAGCAGGAAAAAACATTGCAGCCATTTCCTTTGTTACCTCATCCCTGCAATGAGAGTCACTAGAGCCACCATTTTCACCTTCTCTTTCTGATGCTACTGCATAGGTAGGAAATCTTTCTCTCTGCAGCTTGAAAATTAACAAGGCCTCTTCAGTTTTCTATAGAGTATGGCAGTGAGGGCCGATGCAGTCTATTCCTGTACAAAAGAAAGCCTACACAGATGACACACGACACCTGCTCTCTCTTCTTTATTCTGGCTTGTAAGGCTATTATGTACTGCAGAAAAAATACTTAAAGACTTTTCACTAACAACAATAGCTGTAAAAATGTAGCATCAGCACAGAGCAGAAATTCCTGTCCAGCTACGTGAAACAGTGCCTGAGTTTTCTAACCACAGGTATGAGCTATCAAACTGCTTTTCTTGGCATACATGTTTGTGACTCAAATTCAACTGCACTTTTTGAAGAAACATGTCTACTAAATTTGAATACAGGTAATTAAGTTCTACTATTGTAAAATCCTCCCTCCAAGCTGAACTAGGTACAATTTATAACAAAAGAAAAACATGTCCAGTTTCAAGGATGAATAATTTTAAGCTAGACCACAGCAATGCATCACGATTGAGAAAAAGGATTAACATTAACAACCATTCGACAGAATGAGATATAAGTCATCAGTGAGACTTCTGTGACATTACTAACCATGTTGGTCTTAACCAAATATTCATCTGACTTACTGTTTCTCAAGATCTGTTCTGTTACTGAGGTAAGATTGTAAACCCTGTGCCCAAAACCTGAGTCCAAACCTGCAGATATTGAAAAAGAGATCGAGTGCCATCTTGTGGATGTCACAAGAACATCAAAATTTATTCCAAAAAGAAGTATTCATTAAAAAAATGAAAGTATGCAAGTATAAATCTGCTTATATACAAATTATAACCAAAGGCATAATTCATTATTAACAGGAAGAAACATATTATGAACAATATAAATGTACCTGTTTCAAGAATTTTTTTTTGCTCTACAGCTGAAATAAACTAAAAATTCCACAGGCCAGTGGTCACATTGTCTGCTGTTATGGCCTGTCATTAGTTAGGCAACTAATTACCAACCTCAGCATTTGGGCTCAATATGCAAGATACTTCCATTACTATCATTAAACAAAACTTTTTGTAACATTTCTCTCTCCATGCTGTCAGACAGCAGAACAGAATGTACGCAGTAGTAGTGTATTTAGGACCTTTTTTTCTTCGACTTTTCCTTCCTTTATATATATTACCACCATTCTTTTTTGTTCAGCTGCAGTTACATAAACAAGGATTCTGTAAGTCAGTCAAAGTTACTCAGACTGAAGCAATGAATTAAAATGTTAGCACTAAACAGATGGTGGGAAAGTAAGATGAGAGAAAAAAGAAATAGGAAGAGGGTAAATTTAAGGTGGAGTAACTCTTAAAAATAATTTTTGCCTTATCCTATAAAATAACTAGTGCCCACAGATCCATGAATTGGTAGCATCCAGCATTTTGTGGCGTGACATAATCAGTTTCTCAAGACAGTTCCCCATCATTAGAATGAACTGGTTACCAGCAGCTTTGACTGCAGTTAGATATGAGCACATCACAGGTACTTAGACTGCTTTTCCTTATAAAAAATTAGCTAACATGTAACTCCAGCAACATTTTTGTTACTTAGTTATATCAAACTGGTAAAACTAGCAACTGTGCTTTGTAAGAATAACTGGAAATTATTGGGAATTCATTTCAAGGACTTTGGTGGTATTTCAAGATATTGGTATGTGCTTTTATATAAATATGCTTAAGTACACTATAGCAGCCACAAATAAGATCCCCAAAACTTATTTGGCCTATGTACCACTGATATAAACAGACCAGCTTAGGCTGTCTGCTATGTAGTGGAGACTAAATATGCACTTATATCTGCTATCTTGAATGGCACATATGCAAATTCAATTTATTTGAGCCGGATTAGGCCCATAAGAAAGAGAGTGTTAATCAGCTGGGCATATAAAAGCAGTGTAGTGAGACAGCTACAACACGAAGAGCAAACGGAAATTAAAGAAGAGGAATGTTGAGTGGGCATTTGCTTTCCTTTTACAATACAGAGTAAATACAGGACGAGTGTTTCTGTCCAGATATATTTTCCTGAAGAAAATCCCTGCAGCACTAGGTTGACAAATCATGGAAGAGCACAAATTATTTTTCATTATCAAGCAACTATAGTTTGTCATAATTACATAACAAAAAAAAAAAAGTCTGTTTTCACAGCTTTCCCCAGATGTCTGCCATATTCTGAAGCATTTGAGCTTTTCTGAAAGAAAAACGAAAAATAGAATTACCGGGGAAGAAGCGTTCACTATTTCTAGGCACGGGTGAAGAGAGCAAGATGTGACTTCTCAGGTAAGAGAGCTTACAAAGCAAGGCCTGGCAACTGCCCGTCACCGTGAGGAGGCATTGCTCCCGTTCTGCATTTCGTTGCAGGGAGGCTGCTGGACTGGCCGGACCCAGCGGCTCCCCGAGAGCGGAGTCTAACGAAGCCTGCCGGCAGGAGTGAAGGACATCCCCGT